AGAACTCTCTGAGGATCTGAAAAAAAAGAATTGTTGCTCTACATAAAGATGGCGTAGGCTATAAGAAGATTGCCAAGACCCTGAAACTGAGCTGCAGCACGGTGGCCAAGACCATACAACGGTTTAACAGGACAGGTTCCACTCAGAACAGGCCTTGCCATGGTCGACCAAAGAAGTTGAGCGGACGTGCTCAGCGTCATATCCAGAGGTTATGTTTAGGAAATAGACGTATGAGTGCTGCCAGCATTGCCGCTGAGGTTGAAGGGGTGGGGGGTCAGCCTGTCAGTGCTCAGACCAAAGGCCGCACACTGCATCAAATTGGTCTGCATGGCTGTCGCTCCAGAAGGAAGCCTCTCCTAAAGATGATGCACAAGAAATTCCATCTGTGTTTTTCTGTCAATATGGGGTGCTGTGTGTACATTAATGAGGAAAAAAAATTAACTTGAATGATTTTAGCAAATGGCTGCAATATGATAAAGAGTGAAAAATTTAAGGGGGTCTGAATACTTTCCGTACCCACTGTATATATATACACACACACATATACATATACATACACACACAACAGAGTTGTGCTGAAATTTACATGCCCCTTGCAGAATACGTAAAACATTAATAATTTTATCAAAAATGATTATCCTGAGCAGTATTCAACTGCCTGCTGTTCTTCAGAAAAATCCTCTAGCTCCTGTACATTCTTTGGTTTTTCAACATTTTCTGCATATTTGAACCATTTCCAACAGTGACTGTATGATTTTGAAATCCATCTTTTCAAATGGAGGACAATTGGGGAATCATACATAACTATTATATAAGGTAAAAACATGGATATACATGCTGTTTTTGTTGACTTCACTCGAGCTTTTGACACAATTGAACATTGTCGACTGCTACATTCCTTAGCTGACTTGCATGTTAGATGACCCCTTTGGCTTATTGTAAGGAGCTATCTGAGTAACAGAGAGCAGAGGGTGAAGTGGGGCTCCTGTGTGTCTAACTCCTTTCCAGTTTCAGCCGGTGTTCCTCAAGGGGGACTTCTATCCCCTCTGCTTTTTGTCATATGCATAAATAGCCTTGATTCATATTTGCCTCCTTCAGTAATACCTGTGAAATATGCAATTAGTAGAGTTTCCACCTTTAAATTGCTTGGAGTTCAAATATCCTCTGACTTGTCATGGGATGCCCACATTAAGTACATTATTTCGAAGGTGCGCCCCAGAATATACTATATTTGTGCTGCAGAAAAAGCAGGGCCTTCCTTGTGATGTTTTGGTACAAGTATATTTGACTTTTATACGGCCAGTTCTCGAATATGCTAGTCCAGTATGGGGTGGTCTACCTAAAGGTCTCTCTGAGGAGTTAGAGAGGATCCAAAAGCAATGCTGTCGGTTAATAGGCATTCTGACTTCAACTCTCCCAACACTGAGTGAGAGGCGTGAGGAAGCCACCATACGTACGCTTACTAAAATACTCAAGGACAGTTCATCACCATTGCATTGTTTCCTGCCTATGGCTCCAACACCTACTTATTCTCTTTGGCGGCACAATACATTTGTTGTACCCAGGAGTAAAACCAAACGTCATGAACTCTCCTTTATTCCATGTGCTCTAAATTTGTTGTATGGATAACTTACAGGTCCTTGATTAGGATGCCTTTTCTGTGAATCTGTGTTATTCATATATATATATATATATATATATATATAAAAGCACATTTTGTATTTTTATTTATTATGCTTGTATATCAGTTATCTTTTATTTGTTTTATACTAAGTAATGATTGTCTTGGAGTATGTGTATGTTTGACACATTTCAGGGTTTTGTGTCGCAATATCCTGTCATGTCAAACTTTAAATAAAACTAAACTAAACTAATAACATTTACTGATGCTCAAGAAGGCAACACAATGCATTAAGAGATGGAGGGTGTAAACTTTTTGAATTGGATAATCAGGGCAAATTGTACTTATTCTGTCTTAATTTACACATCATCCTGTTGCATTGTTGCTCTTAATGCATTGTGTTGCCTTCTTGAGCATCCAACTTTTGTAATAGCTGTGTATGAGTCCCTCAATTATCCTCCATGTGAAAAGATGGATCTCAAAGTCATACAGTCACTGTTGGAAAGGGTTCAAATATGCAGAAGATGCTGGAAAACATTTTTCTGAAGAACAGCAGGCAGTTGAACTGCTCCGGACCAACAAGGGACTCATGAACAACTATCACAACACAGAAAGACAGTCGTGGATCATCCAGGAAACAACACAGATTAAGGTTCAAGGGTGTGTAAACTTTTGAACCGGGGTCATTATTTTGTCTATCTGTTATGTGAAATAGCTTATTAAGAACAATATTAAATAAACAATAACATGCAATTTTCATAATCCCTCTTATTTTGTTAAAATTATTGACATTTTGCATATTCTGCAAGATGCATATTTTGCATATACTACAATATATGTAAATATATGAGCACACACACACACAAGTCAACAAATTGTCCTAAAACCAAAATGCGTTCTTGTTTTTGGACAACTTTGATTCACATGTTGACTGTGTCTCTCATAGTTGAGGTATACCTATGATGAAAATTACAGGCCTCTCTCATCTTTTTAAGTGGGAGAACTTGTACAATTGGTGGCTGACTAAATACTTTTTTGCCCCACTGTATATATGTGAAGTTTGGTTCCAAAACACGATAAACGCCGTTTTTAAAAAAATTTGAGTTTCCACCAAAATCAGTATTGTATCTGGTCAGTATTGAAAAGTCCATTTTTAATTTTACGCAAAATGCGATATCCGCCGAGTTATTCTGTCATGTTTTCTCCCTTTCTTTCCAAACCGCGATAAATGCCAGTCTCCCTTCTCTGCAGAATGCGATATATCCACTCAACCAATCACAGCGCACCATTCCACGCACTCTAGACAGTAATGGTGGCGCTTTGAATACACCCGGCATCCTAGTTTTGTATTTTGTGATCAACAAACAAACTTAGGGCTACACGATAAATCGCATGTGATTGTCATGCGCATTTGGTCAGCAAAGCCGGTTCTGTGATTAATAGTAAATCTCCATCACATGCTTTCAGATGGAGAGGCATTTAAAGGGGTCATATGATGTTGCTAAAAAGAACATTATTTTGTGTATTTGGTGTAATGAAATGTGATTATGCGGTTTAAGGTTCAAAAACACATTATTTTCCACATACTGTACATTATTGTTTCTCCTCTATGCCCCACCTTTCGCGTCGATTTTTACAAAGCTCTTTTGGCTCTGATTGGCCAGCTATCCAGTGCGTTGTGATTGGCCGAATACCTCAAGCGTGTGACGGAAATGTTACGCCCCTTGCCATATTGTGACGCCTTGTCCCGGACAGAGCGACGAGACAAACACATAAAAAAAACACATAATAAACGAGGCATTTGTTGCATCCAGTGGGGACATAATTATGGATTATAATGACTTATACTGTCTTTTTACGCGTTGCATTGCGCCACATAAACATAAAACCCTGTCTGCATTTGTGATCTGAGAAATGACAAACTACAAACGCTACTCTACACTGTACAAAGCTCGTGTTTGAATCGTCAGTGGCAAATTCTTTAATTATAAAAAAACTTACTTCCAGTCTGTGAGTCAGAACAGCCATCGTAGTCTACTCTACCAGGATCAGGAAACAGTCCTCCATAAAATGCGCTGGACACATCTGAATATTTGGGTTGAACTGTTCTGGAACAGTTGTAAATACAACTTAACCATTGATTTCTAGTCGTGTCCTCTTTTGGAAGGCCAAACAAAGTAGTTTCACTTTCACAACGAAACACAGCCTCACACACGGCGGGCTAGAGAGAGCGGAGGCCAGCTTGAGTGAGCGGCGGCCGGTGGCCTTGAGAACGGCGCGGCAGGCAGGCTTGCGGCAACCACATGTGACGACCCCGAGCTGGACTCCACTTCATCCACGGTGAAAGCCGATTCGGCGAACCACAGCGCGAAGTTGATGTATTTCCTCAGCGACCAGCACGGATCAGCTCTAGGCATGACGAAGCGGATATCGTCCTCTTTTGGAAGGCCAAACAAAGTAGTTTCGCTTTCACAACGAAACACACAGCGCCTTCACGACATGGCGGTGGCGGCAACAACAATACTACAGCGAGAATAAAAGTTACGCGTTCTTTTTTTTGCGTGAACATTTGGGCACCGTTATGCAAATCTTCCCACATCGTGACATAGACATGTGGGGGCGTGTTAGAACGAGCCGTTTTAGGTAGGCGTGGTTGACTCTTAACTTTTATAAAGAATATCTCTTTGGATTTGAGACTTTAGTCTTTGCAACTTTACAGATCTTCTTTATGCACTAAGAGCTTATAACACTCCAAAGAGAAAGGAAAAAACTGAAATCGCATCATATGACCCCTTTAATACACACAGCCGTAGATCACTGCTATATCACATTCATAATCGCAGATGAGTCACATTCGATTATGAACGCGATATTGCGTTATCTTTATGCACTAAGAGCTTATAACACTCCAAAGAGAAAGGAAAAAACTGAAATCGCATCATATGACCCCTTTAATACACACAGCCGTAGATCACTGCTATATCACATTCATAATCGCAGATGAGTCACATTCGATTATGAACGCGATATTGCGTTACTTGTCAGTGTAAGTGTTTTTATTAATGCCATTTATGTTTTTGTTAATACAGCTTATAGCACTAGTCAACTAAATGAATGTAACATGTCAAAGATGAATGCACTTTTGAAAGTTGAATGTAAGGGAAAAGTAATTTTGGAATTTCTGTCGTTTGTATGTTCATGATGAAATTTTCTTTTGTTGTAATTAATTTATAGCATTAACAAGATGACCCGTTGAATTCATTTTGGGAGCGATGACTGATTGAATGTATTTTTAGTCCAGTGCCTGTATATAAGATTAATATTGACCAAGTTCAGAGGCTGTCATATGTGGATCAACTTACTATGTTGTGTATTTTCAACAGTTTCAATATGAAAAATAACTTTTATATTGATTCAATGGATTTATTGCATTTTGAAGAAAAAAAGAGTGTCATGGATTTATTGCATTTTGGGGACATATTTTTCTTTTTTTTAATAATAAATCTTTGAAAATCAAAATCTGTATTTGAATTTTTTATGTTATTATAACCTAAAGATGCAATGTGAAAGTTTGAAACAGAAAATAGTGGTTTTCATCTTGCCACTTTCTTGGTAAAGAAAAAAAGGTTTTACTCAAATCAATCAAAATGGATTTATAGCGTTTTGGAACCAAACTCTTCATAAATAAATATATATATATATATTTAAACGTGAGAATTGACAAGAAGAAAAACTTGTGAATACATTATGACGTAATAATTTATTTAAAATAGAAATCTTTCATCAAACATTTTCTCACTTTTAACCAATTTAATGCTTGCAGAATAAAAGCATGAATTTGTTAAAAAATATTTGTAAAAAATTGTACTGACCCCAAACTTTTGAATGATAACTTTGATTAATACTGTCAAAAAAAAAAAAGTAAAAAAAGCAGAAATAAGATTTTTTTTTTTTTTTAAACAAAAAAAAACTACAACTATTATAAGAGATATTGTATGACTTTAGGTGATTTGGAATATATTGCATGAGTCAGATGGTTGGATTGTTTACGTGTATGTTTATTTATTTATTTTTATTTTATGTTATTATGATTTAAAAGTGTGAATCAGTGGTGTTACCTGAGGCTAGCAGAC